GTCAACATTTTGGTATGCTTTAGAGCTCGCTAACACAAAGGAGGGGGGTGCTGCGATACAAAAGTTGGTGCCGATTTCTTACCCGAATTTCCGATTTATTCGGATTTACAAAGAACCATTCATCGGACCGCATAATTGGAGACACTATCGGACCGGTAAAAGAATAACTAGTCGAATTTGAATTTTAAGCAGCCGCCTGGCTAAATTTCACTTTACGGTACCTAAATCAAAATGGGATTTTTCGACTGGAATCGATAGATCTCATCGTGTTCTTGCGTTTCCCGTTTAAAAAAAACTATTGGGACGAACTTCTCAAAAAAGTTATAAACGTTTTAAAGTAGTTAGTTCACTCTACGGTAACCTCATAAAAATGCGACTTTCCGCCTGGGATCAATAGATCTCGTAGAGTTCTTGCATTTACAGTTGAAAAACGGTGCTTCCAGGTTATCGGGGGGGCGGTTATTTTAGCGGGGGCGGTTGCGAACTTTTTGTTCTATAACCAGGGTTGAAAAGCCGCTTCGCGACTTTTCAACCCTGGCCCCGTCTGTCCCCATGATATTCATGGCTTTGCATAATTTCGCGGATTCAGATGACGTAAAATGCAAAATTCTCCCTCCGTCCCTTTATATAGGCTATCGCGACTTCCGGTGCATGCTAATTTGATCCCAACAAAGTAGGGTGTCCGATTTTCCATGAAAGACTTAATTTTAATGTCGAAAACAGCATGTTTTGTAAAATCTAATATGTGTGCAGTCATCTCGGGAGCCTTACGCACCTAATGACGTATCGAACATACCCCTAAGTGCTTCCCTTCTTGAGATACTACTGGAACACGATGACGGAAGTTGCATGCAAATGCACACACACACACACAAACACTATTTTTTTATATATAGTAGGATATGGCTCGGGCTAATTAATGGGTTTGAAGAAAAGGGTAAGAGTTTACTTCACCCCCCGCCCCCACAGCCGAAGGGTCTGAAAGTTGTCGGTATTTTCGCTTATTTTGTCGGGATTTTTGCAACGCCATTCGATAGAGCGTCGAAAATTATACTAAGAGTTTTAATTTGAGCCTACAATAATGTCAAATAAAAAAGTTATAGCCAAAAACTTCCGGCTGAGGGGGGGGGGGGGTAAAGTAAACCGTAGCCAAAAGCTGACTGTTTTCATAGATTGTACACCATTTGAAATGGTTTTGGACTGTTAGCGGGGGAGGAGGAATTAAGAAAACGCCATAAACGTCTTGAAAATTTTTGCTTGTTCTGTCTAACGTGTATGAAAATGATTAAAAACGCGCTATGACTCTAGATTTCGTGACATTTAGGATTATATCTTTCAAATTTTTTGGTTGTCGGAAACTACCAAAAATATTTATTAAAATAAACTACAATCAATCACTAAGCAGGTATAGGCTAAGCAAAAAAAGTTGCCTACCGCCCCCCCGCTAAAACAACCGCCCCCCGTTAACCTGGAAGCACCGAAAAAACCTTTGAGGAAGTTATTCGGAAGAGGTTATAATATCTTTTTGACATTTTTGACTGGGACATTGTCAGGCAAGGCGGGCCGTCGCTTCGGATGGGCTGCCGCTCCACTCTGAAGCGACTAGGCCCCCCGTGGCACGAATCCTTTTTCTAGTCGCAGAGCGGAAGAAGTAGAAGTCACTTCCCTCCAAATTGAGTGACTCCTGTCGCAACACCGTCTTTGTAACAGTGCAGGGATTCCGAAATTCGGCCGAAGCTCAAAATGTGCGATAATAAGGCTTTTCCTGCGCCTTTTGTAGCAGCCCCGTTTTTCCGTACAAAGGAGTCCCTCGTAGCCGAAACCGACTTTTTTAATGCGGGGTGAACTGGTTTAAAACGTTTATCAGTGTTGTCATAAGTTAGTCCCAATAGTTTTTTTCAACGGGAAACGCAAGAACGCGATGAGATCTATCAATTCCAGGCGAAAAATCCATTTTCGATTTAGTTACCGTAAAGTGAACGAGCCAATTTAAAATGTTTATAAATTTTTTAGAAGTGAGTCCCAATAGTTTTTCCAGCTGGAAATGGAAGAACTCGACGAGAACTATCGATTCCAATCGAAAAATCGACATTTTATTTAGTTACCGTAAAGTGAAATTTTCCCAGCCGATTTAAAGGAGGCACACCTAAGCACAATCGAATCAAAGCACTTTTTGGCCTGAAAATGTTATTTTTATGAAACTTGATCTGAATGTCGAAAAACAGCTAGTTTTGTAAAATCCGACCGGCACTGACCAGGGTTGGTCATTTTTGACCCGGACCCGGACCCCGGTCATTTAAATTTGCATTGGTCGGGTCCGGGCCCGGGTCCGACCCAGGTCAAAAATGGCCAACCCTGGCACCGACCCCTCGCTACGCGGGAATTCAGCGCTGGCCTCGCCCCTCCCCCCCCCGCAATTTGAATTTCGATTCTGAATCCAGAATCTGCCTGAATTCTCGGTCGGTCGGACGGTTCGGTCAGGGTCGTTACGAACCTAATGCCATATCATACAGGGTGACCCACAAGCCCCTCTACCTAAATTTTTCTATTTGCTATTTAAAACTATGTTCCGCCATAGTCTCGTCTAATGCAGACCTTTTGCTATGCCGAAAACCTACTCCCGTCTGCGAACGCCAGTCTGAATCCCGTAGACAGATGGAGTCGCACAATACAGGCATCCAAGCGGTTCCGAGCCACCGGCTAGAGAAAAGAAGGCGAATAGGAGGAATAGACCGAATTTCAAAGACATGGCGCTGAAATGATTGATTATGTACAATTTCAGCCAAGTCGGCACCGTTTATGCAAATGTACGATTTAACATTGAAGAATTGGATGTTCACCAGGGTTGAAAAGTCGCGAAGCGGTCTAACCCTATGATGTACTTCGTTTTGCACAATTGTGTCCCAATTCCGATGACAAAAAATGAAAAACGCTCCCTTTGAGCCTTTGTATAGGTTACAGCGACTTCCGGCGTATGCTAATTTTATCCTAACACAGTGGGTGTCGGAATTTTTAAGAAAAGCTTAATTTTAATGTCGAAAACACCATATTTTACAAAATCCGATTGTGTGCAGTCATCTCCAGCCCCTTACGCATCTAATGACGCATCAAACACCTCCTCAAACCCATCCCCTCTCGGGATATCCTCTGGACACCCTGACGGAAGTTGCATGCAAATGCACACACACACACAAACACTATTTTTTATATATAGTAGGATACAAACGGGGTAAAGTCACTACCCCGAAAAGTCATTACCCCGAAATAATTTGCATGGATTTCATTGGAAATCCGCATGAAAACTGGATTTTTCCGGGAAAAACAATGCTATAATTTTTCGGGGTAGTGACTTTTCGGGGTAGTGACTTTTCCGGGTAGTGACTTTTCGGGGTAGTGACTTTTCGGGGTAATGACTTTTCGGGGTAGTGACTTTTCGGGGTAGTGACTTTCGGGGTGGTGACTTTTCGGGGTAGTGACTTTCGGGGTAGTGACTTTTCAGGGTAATGACTTTTCGGGGTAGTGACTTTTCGGGGTAGTGACTTTCGGGGTAGTGACTTTTCGGGGTAATGACTTTTCGGGGTAGTGACTTTTCGGGGGTAGTTACCGGACGCCATACAAACCTCTATTGAAGGTGAGGCTCGAAGAATATGGCTCTATAACTTATGACGAAGAATTTTGACTGAGACCCGGGCGTGCGTGCGTGCGTGCGTGCGTGCGTGCGTGCGTGCGTGCGCGGGAGTGCGTGTGTGTTTTCCGCAATTTCTTCGCAATTCCAAGTTCCAACGTCACTCCAGAAAATTGTGGAGAAATTAAACACATCGAGGGAGTTGAAACTCTATTTATTTTTCGAAAGAGAGAATTACATGACACTCACAGGGTAATTGGCGATGAGCGACACGATCAGGGCCGTAACAAACCCAAATTTCGGGGGGGGGGCGACCCCAAAAAATTTTCACGAATATGACTAAAACTACGGCGCCGCAGGCAAAATTTTTGAAAACATAGGGTTTATAACACTAAAACTAGTGTTAAAAATAGACAAAAACAACGCCGCAGGCAAAAAAATTTTTGGAAAAATTAAATCATAAGGGTCCCCCCTTTCCCCGTCTCGGCTTTATCAGCCTTCTGCTTCTCGGCCTCCTCGACTCGCGCTTTCAGATAACTAACTTCCTCCAAGTTGCAATAGTCTGTGCTGCAAACGTATGCCCAGCCGTTCGCTAAAAAATCAATTTCACGGCTGTTCAAGAATATGAATAATAGGTTGGCGTAATGGCGTAATGGTCCCGATTGGTAAGCAACTAGGTTGATAGGATACTGACCCGGATTTTTATTTTCTTTTTTCATCAGAACTTTTTGTCCACTCTTTTTTTTGGGGGTGAAACGCGAGAACTCTTTTTCGCCTTTCCGAGAGCTTTCGATTAGTATAAAATTCATCCCGATCCCAGCGGTCTTCGGACCTAATGAGACGAATATGAAAACCATTGGCAAAAAACCGAAACCTCGAAACGGCCATTCTAAATGAGGATCAATGCAAAATTTGGAAAGTAACATTGCCATTCTATTTCATTGATGGTAGTCGGGCATTGGAGACCTCCGAAACGGACTCAATTTAGCCTCATTTCTCGTAAATGATGGCTTCTATGTGGCTGTCCTTGATTTTGCTAGTCCTCTACCCTGGTGCTGGCCGGGCTGCCGAGTGCTACCAATGCTCTAACAACTTCCCGGAGTCAAGCCGAAATGCCTTCAATTTTTTGTGGGTGTTTGCGGGTTTTTTAATAGATGTGTTAGTTTATGGCCTAGTTTTCTTATCTTCCTCTCTCTCTCTCTCTCTCTCTCTCTCTCTCTCTCTATCCCTCTCATTCTCACTCTCTCTCTAGTAAATCAAGTAATCGATTACAACTAGCGCTTAGTATCAGTTAGGCGCAAAAAAAACCACTTAGGCGGCGCTTCCGAAGTGTCATGCGGAAACGTGCGCCGTCGTGCACTTTGAGGGCAGCGGAATGCGGCTGCATGCCAAGAGTTGTTACACGGCCCCTGCATGGACGAGCGGTGTGATGAAGGTCAACGTGCTGGACTGTGAGTTTTTGAACAGACTTTAGAGGCATAGACAAGGTGTGCCTATCGAGAATCGTGGAACTCGTGGAAAAAAGGGCCCCGCTTCAGGCTTAAGTGCCGTGCAGGCTTGAGCGTCGGCTGAAGGGGGGAGGGGGGGTAAACTGCACTCTAACCCCGCTTCCTCACGCCTTTTAAAAAAAATTCTGATTTCCCCGCAGGTCTGACGTAACCCGTAATTTGCAGTGGTGTGGTCCTACTACGGGTGCAATTCGTCTTTGTGTAACGACGCGACGCCGGCCGAGCTGAAACAGCGGGTAGATGCCATGCTGCTAGGGGAATCCGAAGCCAGGTAAAGTAATACTGGTTCTGGTTCGTTAGCAGGGGGGTTAATGTCGTAGGTTTTTCAATAATTTACTTTTATTTGGGGACTACATTTCGCGATTACTTGTGAAAAAAAAACGACTGTGAAAAGTCGCAATTTTAGCGTACCGGCACGACAACCGGAGAAGGGCAAAGCCGAGGGCGATGGCTTCAAGTGCAACTCCACCAATATTCCGCTCACCTCAAACTTTTACAAATTCTCCGCCTTGTTACTTTTTGCCTTGAATTTCTGAGCCGTCTCTCGTGTTGTGATCTTTACTTATATTTTATGCTTTTCGGTTTCAAAGTACCACATTTGGGTTAATAAATATAATATTCGGATTCTGGGCTGGCTGACAAACTTGTCATCATTTTCCTTGCGAATTTTCAATTTCAGAATTTACCCTCGAATCATCATCTTTTTTTGGGTGAAACAGCTTCGTATTTTTGCATAATTTTAGGCCATCGCTGCTGGATAAAAATACGCTGCCGCCAAAATGTAATAAAATTTTTGGTAGCCCTGTTGTATAATTTTTTGTATGCGGTATAAAGGTTGGTAGCGGGAATTGAAAAATGATGTCGTGGTGTCTCTACCGTATTGCTTACGGTAGACAGACCTTTTAAAAAAAATCCACTTCCTTTGAACATACTACTTTTTCGTGTTTATTTTTAAGTGTTGGTTCACTATCGGGGGGACCTTATATTACGCCCGATGCAATCAGAAATAAGTATTCATTTTATGGTTTTTTAGTAGTCCCGGGTTAGCGAAAATGTCTTCCTCATAAAAAACGTTTTAGAAAATTAAAAATTTACGTTTTTGATGCATTTTTAACCAACCGGAAATTTCCACATTTCGACATTAGGAAATTTCGGCACTCTGAAAATTGGGCATTATGAATTTCGACCGTATTCAATTCTGACTTTCTGATTTTCGACATTACGAATTTCGACATGATGATTTTCGGCATTATATTCTTCGAAATTTTGAAATTGTCCCCATCCGTTCAGGTAAAAGCAAAGGGAGAAATCGCGTGCAAGATGAAGCCAAAAATCTGGCTCGGCATTTTCCTGATCGCCATGATCGTGCTGCTCGCCGAAGCGGAAGCGGAAAACGAGGAAAACGGGCTAATCGAGAGGCCGGAGTACCATGTTCGCGTCGTCAGAAGATCAAAAGGGTCCAGAGGCCCAAAGAAGCGTGGGCACAAGGCGGCAAGAAAAGGCAAAAATTTGAAGAAGGCCGGAGGGAACCCTGTGGTGCCCCAGAAAAAGCTGTCAAAAGACCGGAAGCGAGCAAAAAGTCAGTATTTTTATGCTTAATTGTTAATTAACAAGGGGACGTTTCTGATTGTCGTGCGGACTTCGAAAAGGGCAGACCAAGCCTATCTTCTGCAGAATTCTGCATTGCAGCATTTTTGGATTCGGATTTTTCTGTCTGTTTTCTGTATTTGCGGAATAGTCATTCTCGAACATTATGAAGGACTTAAGCCTAAATTCTGTGTAGCTTTAGAAAAAACCACATCCATAGATCCTGTTTAGAACAAAATTCTCTATAAAATTCACCATTCTAATTAGAAGTTTGGAAAAGTTGTAAAATTGTTGACATTTTATGCGCATAAATTTTATCAAATTTCGATTGAAGTCACTTATTTGATAGAGAATTTTGTTTTGAAAAGTTCCGCGCGCTTTCTAAAGCCGATCACCAACAATTTATGCTTCGAGGTATTTCTAAACGACTTTTTACCATTACTGAACGTAAAAAACTTTACAAATTTTGATTAAAAAAGCACGAATAGAGGTCCCTCGACTTTTACTTTTTAGATAGTTTTTTTACTTGAAATATAGTTATATTACACGAAACAAACTAATAAAAGGCCCCTTATATCCGGTTAGGGCATTTCTAAGCGTGTGTAATATTTTGTTTGCCGCCCCCACCGATAAGGGGGAAAGAACCCCTTTTCTAATTTCCATTCGATACAGCGCCAAAAATAGATCAATATTTTTAATTGCATCTAAAAATATTTTAGTATCTCACGATCCGCGCGCTATAAAATCCGTTGTTTTTCACTGTTGCTTATTTTCAGCCGCGCTAAACGTCATCGAGAACGCAGCACTGGGGCTGAAGAAGCTGGGGCTGGGCCGGGTATCCGACGCCGCCGGCAGTTTCCTGAAGGCATTTAGCTCGGTGAAGGACCACCTCGAGGTCGTCATGCCCCCGATTTTCAAAGTGGCAAGATTTTTGGGCAAAGGCGTTGCATGGCTGATAAAGGTAAGCTCACGCTCTTTTTGTTATTTGAGGGCCTGAAAAGGGTATGAAAAATATGAAAGATCTGAAAAGTAACTTTTATTTTTATGCTCTACTTTTACTCAGGGTGCGAATTTTAAAGGCGGCCCTAACTTTGTAAAATCACGGTGATCCCGAATCGGTTTTCCAAATTTTCAAAAGCTACAATGGTTTTTGGTACAAATTAGTTTTGTTACAAATTGTGTTTTAACCCCGCGATAAAACTTGTTCCTGAATTCGAGCTACAGATTTGTTCATAGTTGGAATGATGTTGTAGTGCTTGTTGGAATGAGCGTATTTTTTTGCCCTACAATATGGTCCATTTTTATTTGGAAAGGATTCTACAAGTATTTTAGTAGAATATTTTTAACAAAAACTAACCAGTCTGTAACGAAAACGGCTGTAAATTTTGAAATCGTAGTCTTCAGCAAATTCGGAAAAAAAGATTCGGAATCAGCGGAAAATTCTGCAGAAGAGATGCTTGGTTACAAAAGGCAGCCTATGTCAAAACGCTTTACAGGGAACAAAAACACTTTACTATGAGACAGTCTGGTTTTGCAGTTTTTGAAAACAGAATTTTAAACGAAGCGCAAAATTCTGACAAGATAGGCATGGTTTCGACACTCCCAATACTGCTAAAAACTTTTCCCTTCTAGTCCAAAATCAACCGGCCGAACCGCCGCACCGACGACCGGGACGAAGACGGGCCGTCCACCGATCCCGAGGAGCCCGTGGATCCCGAGGATGAGCAGGATCTGACGGATTACGACGATGACTATCCGGTGCTGTATCAGGATAACGGGCAGGCGTACGAGGCCCTAAGACGCGTGATCGACTCCGAGGTCGAAATCCTGGGAGCTGCAACCCTGAAGGCGTACCAGGCGATCAAGCTGAGCATCCGGGCCATGGATTATGAGTCGGTAAGCTGTTTTTTTTTGGGAAAGTCAGCGGATGAAACGTCATAAGCATAGCTAATAGCATTAGCAAAATTGTCTTACCAAAGCTTTAAAAAAACTGATAGGTCTAAATCTTGTTATTGGACACTTTGAATTACGTTTACTTTCGAAAAACGCCCTGTGGATAACCTTGAAAAAGCTGCCAAAAACCATTTATAGCAAGTGAACAGCAAGCTGAAGCTGATGCAGCAGGAGCTGAAGCTGCCGGAGAACGAGGGCTCCCGCGAACAGCAAGAAGTCAGCTACAGCCTGAAGAAGGACAAATGCGGAGACCTGGATGAGATTGAGGACGTAGGCTGATCCACTCTAGTTATTCCCAAGAATTAGCCGATAACCTTTCTTCCTTTCAGATTTTTCGCTATAAGAACACTGTCAACTGTGCCCCGGAGAGTCAGGAGACGGATAAGCAGCTGCGGAAACTTTTCCGGCGCGCCAAGCGTAGCGCTGAGCAAGAGCGAGGTAATCTAGAAGTTTCGCGCACGGTGACTTTTTAGAGCTGTCCCACCACCTCTACAGCATCAACCAGCCGGAAGCGCTTCGGTATATGCAAGAAATCCATCGAAGCCTCGACGAGCACGAGAAGGCCCAGTTGAATGGGGGTAGGTTAATTTGATAGAAAATGTTAGCGGAGCTAGTACCATATTTTACAGCCAACGAAACGGTTTTGCATTCTTATTGTAAAAACCTATTAAAATTCATGTTTTCAGTGTCTCCCACCACAGTCGACAACATTTTCGACAATGCCACCCAGCACGTTAGTGATCGGATCAAGAGAGCTATTGAACACCGGACGCATCCATTGTTCAGGTAATTTTGCGTAGCGGAAACCAACGTAGTAAAGCGTAGGAAGACGGATCTTTCTAAAGACCCCCGTAACGACACACAACACATTCGCTTTTTCATTACGTGTACTTTGCTATCCATTACCATTAGAAAATCAGATCTCGTGCTACGTGCCGAACTAGAGTAAAAAAATCATAAGGAATCCAAAGTTATACTTCACCTAGTTGTATGCCGCAAGTCGTCATGGCAGCGTCACGACTTCACCAGGACGAGGTGAACAACTACTTACAGCTGATCAACACCAACACAATTCAAATTGTAAGCGACAATAAGAGCAGCACAAGCTCACGCTATTGCCTAGATCGAGCTGGCGATGCTGTGCTACCCGATCTTGCTGCCGACCGTCGACCCGGAGCCCAGGCTGGAGGCGCTGAAGAAGCGGATGCAAGACACGATTAGCACGGTGGCCGACATGGTCAATAAGGGCATGGTATATTTTTCGGATCTTTTTCGAATGGCATCCTAAAAACTAAGAGAATACTGAAATGCTGACAATAGTTTTTCCCGTGTTATCCTATGCACTGTTTTTAATCGTAGTTTTTGTGATAAAAAAACTTTTATAATACATTTTTTCCTGGTCAAAATAATTCTCTTAGTATATATTTTCGAGGCTCTATCGTTCTATCGTAATCCTTAAAAACCTTACAAATTTGACTCCCCTTCCTCCGGTACCCTAAATAACTCAAAAACTTCATGATTTCAGAACGCCTTCGAAGATTTTGAGGGACAACTGATCCAGGAGGTGTTGAGCGAGCACAAAGGGGGTACAAAGGATCAGCTTCTGACGGCGCTCCGCGACGGCATGGACAAACACGGGCCGGAAGGGTGAGCGGCTTGGACCAGCTTAGAACAAGCCGAAAAAATGTGGAGATTGCGAAACGGAAAAACGCCCATCTTCCAGGATCCAGCGCGTCTACCTGGTGCACGAGGGCGCTAAAAACGCGACGCTGTTCGGGTGCCCGAAGCAGAGCTGCGGCTGGAAGCGCCAGGACAAATATCTGGTGATGTCGATCCGATACCCGGCCATCCCCTACAAGCACAACAACGAGAACTTCCAGCTGGCCGCCCACTCGCTGGAGCGGCGCATGGCCGTGCTTGACGTGTGAGGGATTGAGATATTGTGATCACGTCTGCATACCCCTTTTTTAGCAAGCAAGGCGATGAGGATTACCTGGATGTCCTAGAGGTGCGCCTGGCTCAGGCCGGGTTCCACCTCACCAACCAGAACATGAACGCCTGGCTGATCTTCCGTGGTGGCGAGGGCCATCTGACAAAGTTTACGCAGATCCTCGAGCCGGGTGAGTACATTCCGCGACAAATAAGAAAAACTGCTTAGGACAAAAGCAACCGGCCGAGGTCACCGGTAGCGGATGGCAGCTCGCCTCCGGACACTACTTTAGCCACCGCAAGGATACGATGGCTGTCGTGTTTCCGGCCTCGTTGGCTCGATAAAGCCATTAAAATTTATGATGTTAAAATAAACTCTTCGAGCAGCGATTGTGATTAGTTTATGTTTTGCAGAAAGCGATTCCGTGACTTGGCCACGTTCCGCTAGGTATTAGAGTCCCAAAACGATAAGAAATCGCTGTATATTGCTGGCGATAAGAAAGAAATCAGATTGAATTTTTTGAATTGATTGAATGCATTTTTTAACCCGCGCTCATGGATGTTTCGTAGACGCTAGCAATCGTTTAGTTGAATGAGGAAACGCTTAGTAAATACGATTGTAATGCGTCCCCCGCGAGGTCGTCAGCAGCTCACTTCGGGTCTACAACTTAAAGCACACCAAGTGTCAAATCAAAGCCCGTTTCGGAGGGCTCTTGGATTTGGTTGGCAGATCTCTTTCGATTTTCGCGCGAAACAGATTTTGCCCGAAATCCCTGTAAAAACACTAGAATTCGTAGATTCTGAGCTGAGTACTGAAGTCCTCGCTCAATTTTAAATAGTTTAGATTTTTGAATTATCGAATTCGGCCCAGAAACAGCTTTGGAGGTGACCGCAGGGAATTTCAAAATCACGAACATCCCGCACTGTTTACGTACAGAGGCCTACGGCGTACAGGGCTCCGCTTTCGTGACCGCAACTCAGTTTTTGGCACTTCGCGACACCTTTAAGAAACGCTCGGCAGTTTCCCCCATCAGCTACGGCTCTTCGATGTATCAGGTTCAGCACTACTCCCTTTTTGTGTGTTTTTTGCTTTTTTTAATGCTGTTTGTTTCGATGTTATCCGTAACTTTATTTAGGGTCAGCGTTTGGAGCTATAGGATACGGTGCGTCATTTTCCATATAATACTGTAGAATCACGAACTGGCTTTCGCTTAGCAATCCAATATCTGGAGGGCCCCCGCGTCAAAATGGAATATTTACCAACCCAGCTATATAAACGCCAAGAATAACGCCACATCACCTCTACAACCGACTGAAAAATATCCCATGTATGTCCCTTTTTCGGTGTTTTTTTTTAAATTCCCTGCTCACGAATCTTGGCCTCTTAGCTCTCTAAGGAAACCTTCAACATAGACTTTCAGGCAATGCGACTCACCCACTGGGTTTTTTCTCGTGTTCATGGCGACACTTCTCTGTGGTTTCGCATCGCGTCGCCAAGACGAGGCTAACTCTCAACTCGCGCCGGCGAAACCAACGGACATGCGGCGGCGTCAGAAACGGTTTCTTCCGGCTCTTAGTAAGTTCGGTACACAAAGGATAACGGAGAAGAATAAAATAACTGGGAATAAAATAACCAGTTCGAATTCGAAAACTTAGCGCTACGTGCCCTGTGGGTGTTGAGATAACTTCGGCATACAGGGGTTTCGCTGTTCGCCCCCGTAATTCAAGTTCCGATGCATTTCCTCTCCGCACGAGGCCTCCTTCTAATTGCCTCCGGTTCCAATTCTACCTTTTCAGCCTGGGGCGCCAAAAGGCGTACGATGCCGTGGCCCCTACGGCTGCTTCTGCCATCAACGCTGTCGCCGGACACGTTGGCGATTCCCCAAAAAGTAGCTACGAGATGGCTAAAGACATTGGTTCCGGGGCTCTGGATCTCGCTAAAACTGGCGTACACTATACTCTCCAGGGTATTCATGAGATGTGGAGTTTGTGCTGCCGCAATGGAGTATTTAAGGTGTGGTTTAAAAACTGAAGAAAAGCTGATACCTCAGAGTTAAAACTTTTAAGCATCGGTGTCTTCAGGGACGTAGCGTAATACCGGCCCCGGGCCCCGGGCCGGCCCCGAAATCGGCCCGGGGCCCGAAAATTTCATAAGGACCCTTATGATTTTTATTTTCTCAAAAATTTTGCTGCCTGCGGCGCTATTTTTCACGTTTTTACTGCTATTTGTAGAGGCTATGTAACTTTTTTTCAAAATTTTTGCCTGCGGCGCTGTTTACTCGTTAATCTTTTGAGTTTTTGGAACAATTTTTGGCGCCCCCGAAATTTTTCTGGCTACGCCCCTGGATGTATTGCTTTTCAAATTAGTCGGAAAAAGGGTTCTGGCACCTGGCGACAACTTATTTTTTAGTACGCGGTAGGACCGATGCTTAGCAAAGCGATGGATGTTCTTAAGCCAATGGCCGAACAAGTGAAACCAATTTTCCCGGCACCGATTTCTCCAGAGGTGGGCTAAATCCTTTTTTGTGTGACAGTGAAATCATTTTCTTAGGACGAACAACGCAGGAAGCTATCGCCGCAGCCTCGGCGTTGGCCAAGATCGTGCAGCAGGGATTGGCGAGAATGAAAGATGATCTTCGGGAAATCAAGAACATGGTCCGCGAGGGCTCTCGATCCAGGCCTACACGACCGTATCTTTTTTGAGAAAATTAACTCATAAATGTCAAAACTCCACCAGCGCCCCCCTCCCCTCCCCTTACTAATGTTCTTGCGCCTCGCTAGGGCCTGCAGCCGCAAGCTTTGCTCGACACTTGATTTAAAATCCTTGCAGGACGTGCTCCAACCTCTGTTCCATCTGCAACAACGGATGCTTTACCTCAACAGGTCCCAGGACATTGCCGAGCGCCGGGCGCTCGACGAGAGTTCCGCAAGTTGTGTGTGTCAGGCGTTTTGATTTAAGTTGTGCAGGTATGTCTGAAAGGTGTCCGGTGAGCTTGTAAAGCCCGAACAAGGCAAGAAAGAGAGCACATCCATTTTAGCAATTCGAGAATCACATCTGGAGGTCGTGCCGGACACCCAAGGACTTTTATAAGCGCAAGAAGCGGTCATCAGGCAAGCGTTTTTGTGAGTAGATTTTCGTGAAGACATATGGATTCGAAATTCTACGCCTTTCCCGCGAAGCACGAATCTAGGCCCGGCTTATCCACCATCAGCAGGACCCACATTCGGATGCGCCGGGATGATGAAGACCCGATCCTGTTCAGCTCGACGCCACAGTTAGTAAAAAACAGGCTCACTATCCTTTGTAGATGCGTAACCATGACTGTGCTCCAAACCCACGACTTCTCACAGCGAGCTCTCAACGTTTGGCTGGACTTCGCTTAGATCGACGACTGCTTCAATTGTGAGGATTTTGTGGATGGCATTTTTTTTAGTTGAGCGTAGCTTACCCGTTTGCCATCCCGCACATTGTCGTGGACCAGGAGCTGATTAGCACATACCTCAAGCGGCTGCAGGACAGGTTGCAGCTCATGTTGCAGGTGTTGATGAGATGCTGGACTTGGTGTTGGTGGGTTTTTAACAAGATGGACTGTGGTGTGTGAGGTGCTCGAGTATCGACTACCATGGTGTGGTGCCTCGCAAACAAAAAACTGTCCAAATTAGTTGTGACTGCGTTCGGTACCAGTCAAGAGTTTTTGCCCCGGCCTCGGCTTGCATTCTTTGTGCAGACCGGAACAGACGCAGAGGATAGTGTTCTGTAACCTCGATAATAAAGACAAACCCACCTTTCCTAGGCCAAAATGGATGCCTACGACAAGGATATCTTCCACCGCCGAATCCGCGCCTACACGGAGTTGGACACCGCCGAGCAGTGGCTGATGACGCTGAAGCACCAGTTTGACGACCTTGGGCGGGCCGGGTAAGCGTAGCTAGCAACGTAACGACCTTCCGTTTTCAGCATCGACCTGGCCTACATCGTAGCAGTCAGCAGGCGCTCAAATCATAGCAGTTACTACGCTAGCCAACAGCGCGACCACCCCTACAGGGGGTTTCCACAGGGTGCAAGAGCTTTGTCTAGCGCAGCCCGACAAATCGATGGTCGCACGAATGGGACACGTTGGTCCAGACGGAAGTGGAGAAATTGAGGTATCGGTTTTGACAGCACGGCATTAAAGGGATGGCGCAAACGAAGTCCGGAGGCGTTATTCCACTTTCCCAACTTCCCGCACTCGCGACTGTAAAAGGCCCTTTCCCGCCCAAAACATCGCCCTAAGGGGGCACGTTATCGCATCTGCGCGCCTCAGCCTCTCATTACTGCGCCGATTTGCTGCTAAGGGCGGTTGGCGCGCGAATCCAACCAAATCTGGCAAGGTTCCGGGAATCCACGTAACCCATAGATTTCTGCTTGCGCTATCCCTTCGCGAAACACTCAGAGCACGGTTTTAAGAAATGACCCATGTTACTTCAGGTTTTAGCCCACTTCGTTTTTTTTGTTAGCCTTAACATAACAAAGCGCCTTACGTCGGCCCAGTCTACATGATTACCTTCCGGGACCGCGCTTGAGAAAAACAAGGACATAGCGCACAAGGATGTATGGAAGCTATTCTCACCGGCAGAGCTGCTTCGAACCTTCCCCCAACTTTATCCTGTCCTGGGCGCCAGGGTTCGCCCGCAACCCCTGCGCGGTGATGGAGGCCGGTATGTAAAAATATCTTAGTGTATTGGTATGCAGTTGAAGTGCTTGGGAAGCCGTGCTGAGTACCGTCAATAAACGTCATAGCTTATTGTTACAAACAACAAACGTGACGGAAGTTTAGAGGATCAAGTAGGCATCGATCAAAGAGAGCCCAGGGCGCAGCAGCCATCACAGCACGTAATTGGCAAGCAGCTGTTGGCATGTCCGAGGGTATAGTCGCAGGGAGCACCTGGCTCTAAGGTCTGGGGCCTTTCGCAGCGTTATCTACACATTATGAGTCATGACCATTCCCATATACGTCTACTTTCCAGGACAGGAAGTTGCTCGGCTTCTACGACATCTCCACACACCAATACCCATCTTTGACACCCAGAACGCGTCAGTCATCTACAGTCTGCTTCTTCTTCACCCTTACCCGCCAAAATAATGTGGAGAATGTGGAATAAAACATTTGTTGTGGCGTTAAAGGTGGTAAACAAAGGTTTTGACGCCCACAAGTATTTTGTAGCTATTTCGCTTTGAAGATCAGCAAACCCTTTTAACTTCTACACCGTATTCTTTGCTATCGGGGTATCTTCAGCGTTTTGCTGCCACGTTAAAAAAGCAATAACAGGCAATACAGCCATCATAATTGAATATTCATAAA